GGCTTTTGCAAGTCTTGAAACAACACTTTGCACTTCGAAGGTGCAAAGCACATACCATATATATTATATATATTTTCACATTTACCTGAGGACAGACTGTGTGCCAAGCAAATCATGGTATAATAGTCTCTATAGTGCCTCGTGTCAGGTCTTTGTGTGACCACCTTTGACTTTTTTCCATCCACTATCTGTTACGGCGAACATCACGCGCCGTGGCAACCTGTTTTGTAGTATGCGCAACACAGGCGTCAACCAACATAATCTATGAAGGTCGATCACTTGCACTAGTGGGCGACCGCGGTTACCTAAAACTGCACCTAACCTCGACATTGCTGTGTGGACAGTGGTCTTTAAACGCCGACAATCGATCTTTATCCTGTTTTCATGATGGCTACGTTTCTGCACCGTACAGCATAACTGGCCAAAAACAATGCAAAACGGTGCATCGACACGGTCCGAACGGCGTTTCTGCAGCTCCGAACCACCTTATGGTGCCGGAACGAGATCAACCTCAAAGGACATCCGACGATTGGAGGTCTTTGATTCATTCGGAAAATAAACTGGCTGGACAGAGTCTCAAACTCGGACATCAGAAATTGATGTCACGTAGCCCATCTCTCAACGCACATACAACGCCGCCGATTGCAATGGTTGGGCCATGTTGTCCGTAGACCCGACGACATTTTTACGAATATTGTCTTGGCTCCGACACCATGTACTCGCTTGCGCTGCCGATATGCCGGGCAAGTAAAAACCTGACTGGACACTATATTGAAAGCCATCGACCACCTTGAAATTCGGATGGAGTACAGTACTCGCCGATGGAAAACAAACTGGATCAACACTTGCAAGAATCTTGCAGCCAATCGAGAAGCGTGGACAGCGGCCATCAGACATTCATGGAGCTGGTTTATCCATTTCAAGGAGCCAGCCGTAGTAAAGTAAAGTGAGTTGGTCCAGCACGCAGTCTCATTATAACTGAAGAAGTTTTGTTATTTGGGCAGCTACATCTCACCCGGTGGATGCATCACAGATGAAATGTCAGCTCGCATACAGAAAGCTCGGTTGGCATTTGCTAACTTAAAACATTTGAGGCGTCGTCGCGACATCCGGTTGGCTGCGAAGGATCGACTGTATGCCGCGGCAGTTTGGCTATATGGAGCAGAAATTTGGTCACTAAGAAAACAGGACGAAAATAGACTGTCGGTGTTTGAACACCGATGTCTATGCAGCATTGCACGAATCTGGTGGGGCAGCCGGACGAATAATGCTGAGGTTAGGCGCAGAGTTTTGGGAAACCGCGTTCACCCACTGGAGCAAGTGACCGACTTCTATTGATCACGTTGGTTGGGGCATGTGTTACGCATGTCACCAAATAGGTCGCCGCGGCGAGCGATGTTTGTCGAGGCAGGTAGTGGTTGGAATAAGGGGTAAAAAAGCTAAGACCTATCGCGAGGGTATGAGAATTCTAACCAGGGGACTGGATCACAGAGGTCCTGTTAGGCATCCACTTATTCACTTCATTCTGCTCTTTTATCCAAATGGAGCACCAAAAGACGGCAACCAAAGACAGAATCCTTGGTTCACCGATATTCGCCATTTTCTGTTCGACTCTACTTTAAACTTTCCTTTTTTCTCCTACTGTTCATCCACAGGCAGCCACCAAAACCAGTGCACGAAAGTGCATTGTTATTGGTTGTATAAATTGGCCACCACGATCAGACTGCACCTTGACGTGGTGTAATAGCCTGTGCACTCCCTGACCAAACGAGCTACACAGGATGGTTTTTGTCAAACCGAAGATCTAATCTTGCCCGGAAGGTAGGGCAGAGGTCGAACGAAGTCGTGTCCTAGGTTGAGTGTTCGACTGGAATTTCCGTTTCAGCCGGTAAAAAATGATGGAGTAAATGATCCACTTTACTTCATCCGCTGCCTTATGGCTAGGTTTTTGTCAGAACTAAAGGCCGGACACCCTAGCAGTACCCGCCCATCAAACCCCAAAGCATATGCACTGCGAGTTTGGCAGCGATCAGTGAAGTTCGCTTCTCTGAATTTCGCTGTAAGATGATCATGACGACGATAATGTGCAAAAAGAAACTTGTTTTCTAAACCTTCAGGATTTCTCATTATTGTCAAAAGCACTAGCATCTCTGTGAAAAAACGTCTGTATACATACCGAGATATATTCGCCGAGAGGAACTTAGCGCAAAGCGTCCAGAAAAGTCCCAAATGCTTCTACGTATATATCCAAACTGAGGGACACACGGAAAACGGCCGGCAGTTTGGAAATATCGACCGTGGCGGGAATACAGCACCTATCCTGTTACCGTTATTCAAAAGCACGCACAGGATCCACAGAGCGGTGGAAAACCTAACAACAATAGAAGGTAACTATACAACGCAACCAATAATAGTAGGATTTCGGGATGTACAGCGTGAGCTGAGAGTGCTCAAAAGGTTCAAGGCGACGGCATAAGTCTAGCGGCTGTTCAATTGCTGGCTGATGTCATAGTGGGTCCGATCTTTGAGCAATTTAGACTCACTTAGACTAGGAGTTGTCCCGGAAGATTGGCATAAAGCCACAACAGTGGCGATACACAAGTCTGGATCTCGGCACAAAAATGAAAATTACAGATAGGTAAGCTTGAAGTCAGTAATACGTAAGTGTTTGGAGCGGTAGTTAGAAAGCAAGCATGCCATTCCATGGCCAACAGCGGACTGTTGGTATCAGTTCAAAAAGGATTTATTGAAAAGAAGCCTCCTGACACATTTCTTGGTGCTTCTAGATGAGGCCACGAGTCACCAAGATGAGGGTCTACCAGTGGAGGTATGCTATATGGACTTTCAGAAAGCATTTCACTCGGTCAGTTAGAACATTGGTGTTGGGAATAGTTGGACAAGTACGGAGCGAAATAATGGGCTTCCTAGCACCATGGACGTTTAACATAAAGGAAGGAGATCACATCTCTAAGGAAGGGATGATCAAAAGCAGTGTACCTCAAGGAGCAGAAGTTGGACCACTGCCGTTCCTGT